ACTTTATCTATAGGGTTCGTAGCCACATATTTATAAAAATTTCCCTGACTTTTCCCTAACTTTTTTGAAAAATCAGATGAATTTCCCTGACCATTTTTAACATTTGCAATGGTTTTTATAATTTCAAGACAAAATAATGGCTTTCTGATCTAACATTGCATGTTTTTTATTCTTTGACTTCTCTTCCTCAAGCATGATCTGGTATTTTTGATGTGCAGATTTAAAGCAACTTTCATTTCTGATGTAATCTGGACAGAGTGGGGGTTGAGGTTGTTGGTAAGCATGAAATCACACGCAAGACGCCGTTTAACAATACCATCTGTAGATATATTATTGGTAACCACATCCTTATTGACACTAAACCCCCGTTCAACTAATGCCTGTCCATGACTCAGAGTCACAACCAACTTAATGACAGATGACAACTCTGGATACTTTTTTATGTCAATGTTTTTAAAGTAAAAATCATCAAGACGTTTATTATTTTGATCATAACTAATGAAAACATCCAAATTCTGATGAAATAAACTTTGAGAACTGGCTGATAACTTTGTCAGAATAAGAAGCAGTTAATATTCCAAGTGAAATAAGATGATGCAGCAATATTTTCATTTGATTCCTATTTTTTTCAGGTGTGATCTGAGCATAAAAATTTGGAAGCAAACAAGTACTCGTATTAACAATCACGGAATCAAGGGGACATCTTTTAAATAACTTTTCAGCAGCTGAAATCAAAATGTGCATGCATTGAATTTTAAATTCTTTCATATCCTTCAAAATAACTGCATCATTTTTTCGGAGCTTTGACAGTGATAATTCAGCAGCAAACCCAATATCAATTTCACTGGGTTTCAAATGGTTCTCTTTATTTTGCAGATCAATTTTGGTAAGTTTTGAGGTAGCCTCAATAGTTTCAGATTTAATGAACATCCTAAGAATACTCTAATCAACTGCACAAGATCACCATTCATGTGAGGCAACATTGGAGCGTCAGTCTGATAGAGCTTCAGAAACGGTTCAAACATGCTTGCCAGGTAGCTAAAAAACTGGAATTTTACAAGGGAAAGTTCTTTTTTAACAGCATTTACAACAAACTTATATGATTTGCAAGATGGTCGTTTACTTTTAGGCAGAGACTCCCAATAATTAACAATTTTTATAATAGATATTTTTTTGTCTTCAACCCATTTGGTTGCGCAAAATGAAAGCGGGAACACAGAACCTTCAGTGATACTGATAGTCACTTCTTCTGGCAGGAGAATTATGAAATAAGGTAAATCAGTTTTTAAATGTCTTTTTAAGTTCCCAATCAGTTGATTCTACTCCTGTTTTGAAAGCACCATGAATTATGTGTAGGGAACAGCAGCCTATATCAATAAGTTTAGATAATTCGTGCTCTTCACGTTTGCTTTGAATGTCTCTGTGAAATTTCAAGTTGACACTGGGTCCATCCATAGAGACCTGAACAATTTTGCTGATATTAATATCACTTATCTTTTCATTAAAATGATTTACCAAATCAAGACTAGTACTATGTCCCATAAATGAGGAATTCCAATACCTCACTTCAACTTGTATTTTTTTTCTCATTCCAATACCGGATGAGTAAATCCATTTGACAAGTTTGAGTTTTTTTGTTGAGGGATTCATCAAAGGATACCACAAGCCAAAGAGACAGGCTCATTTGTTGTTTAAGTAAACCTTTAAAGGCCCAAGACCATGAGTGATGCTATATCCAACTTTATTTGGTCCTATTTGAAAAGATTTAGCAATCTCACTGTCAGGAAACATTGCTTGAAACAAATTTGTCGCATTTTTGTTTGAATTGTTAGAAATTCTATTTAAGCAACAATGCAATGCCCACATAATTTCTGCACAGATTTTATTAGAATTTGATACGATGAGTTCTAAAGATTGCTGCTTCATTTGTCCTGTTGAGAAACTATCAGTTATCTTTAAATTAGACTCTTCTACTGAATTAGGTGAATTAGTATTTTTAGAGGCAGATGATTTAAAAAAACAAGAGAAATTGCTTGCAACTGAAACATGTTTTTTTCCTTTCTCGTGACTTTTTATTGCTTGAATACCCATGTTTGAAAGTTCAATTATTTTATTGCATAATTTGCATTTTGCCTGGGTGTTATTTTTCCCTTTCATTAGCCAAGAGTCAAAATGAGGGTAAATGTCTTTATTTAACCATTCTTTTTTAAAATAAGCTTTTTTTTCTATTTTATTCATTATTTTAATTCTAAAAATGGAAACAAAATATTTCAAAATGATTTATATTTATAACATAGGGCACTGTAACAAATTTCATTGTATTAATTTTAAAAACCTTTTTTTTATTTTCAAAATTCATTTTCACAAGGATTTTAATCTAATAGTCATTGTAATGCTTATAGAAACCAATACTTTTTTAATAAAAATTTTCAAAAGTTTTCAACAAAGTTGAAAATCTTTGAAACTTTCTGTAACTTATGTAACTTAAAATAAAAAAAGAAATTTTTTGCTTTAAAGACACAAAAATGTTTAAAGTTAAAGATGCTGTTGTTTATAGAATAAATTACAGAAATAGTTTTAAACGATTGAAATTGATCATAAAAAATTAGTTTTTTTTATAATAAATAAAAAAAAGGAATTATTTTTTTTATAATAAATAAAAAAAAGAAACACACTATTATTGTAAAAATAAAATAATAACCATAGATAATTTAAATAAAATATTTTTATTGATTAATATTTTAAAACAATTGTTAGTAATAAGAGCGTTTTTGCCTAATAAAAATACATTTAAAAATATTCAAGTTTTAAAAAAGTTAAAAAGCCGTGGTCAAATTTTTAAAAATAAAATATTATATGCGTGGTAAAGGTGTGCCATCACATGCCTTCCTGTGAAACACTGTATGGTATTTTTTAATTGTCAAAATAAATGGGAAGCACCAACAGAAACATAATAGCTTATTTGTAAAATGAGTAGTTTCTCAATTAGAATTCCCTGACTTTTCCCTGACTACCTAAAAAAAAAAAATTTCCCTGACTTTTCCAGGTTTTCCATGACTTTAGCCAAATTTGGCTGATTTTCCAGGTTTTCCAGGTTTTCCAGGTACAGTACGAACTCTGTATCTAATAAGTCCCATTGAAATGAATTTAGTGTTGATTGGGTAGGATGATCAGCTGTATAAGTTGCCAAAAGAACTTTTTGATCAAGCATCCTTTCAATCATATCATAAGAACTGTTCCATCTTGTAGTAATATCTTGGATTAACCTGTACTTATTTGTACCAAGTTGTTCCTGAATTGCTTCTAATTTTGCTGCTGCTGTTGGGGAATGGTGAAAATGAGTTGCCAGACGTCTGCAACAAGCTAAAATATCCTTAACAGATTTTTGCGACAGAATTGAGTCATGTATACATAACTGTATTGTATGTATAAAACATGGCATTGATCTAAAACCACTGTCTCTTACACCAGCTACCATTTTGGCTGCATTATCTCGTAAAACAATATGAATTTTTGAGTGTGGAATTTCAAAACTTACTAAACTTTTATGCAAATACTCACTTATATTTTTTCCTGTGTAACTTTCTGGAAAATGCATAACTCTGAGTACTGCTCTGTGCTGGGAAAATTCATTACTGAGCCAGTGTGCTGTCATGCTTATGAAGGCAACATTTGAACTATTTCCTGTCCAAATGTCAGTTGTAAGAGAGATATGAATGGCAGCAGATATATTACTCTTGATAGAACTAAATAGTTTATTATATATTTGTGGAACAATGTTTTCACTAAAATATCTCCTACTAGGTATTTGATAATTAGGACACAGCTCTTTAATTAATTTTCTAAAACCAAGATCTTCTACAATCAAATATGGTTGAATGTCCAACGCCATCATTTCTCTAATGTGATTGTGAATTTTGATAGCTTTTTGATCATTTACACCCCACAGCTTTTTTTTATTCTACAAATTTTTTTATGCTTCTAAATAATTAAAAATATATACTAATAAATAAATAAAGAAAAAAATATAATCTTAAAACATGCCAGATACTAGGTTTTAATACCTTATACCTTTATACTTTTAGTTTTATTAGGTAACTTTTATATTTGTAGAATAGAGTACAAACTTAGCTTAAATGTTATAACATATAAGCTAAGCTTTTAGTATAGTCTACAAATATAAAAGTTAGCTAAATAGCTTAACTTTAAGCCTTAACAATAACAACTATCAAAATAAATCCTTAACGTAAAATATTATTTTAAGAAGTTTAATTTATAAATTACAATATAATTTTATTATATTATAATTGTTAATTATTTATACTCATTATCAATAAGTTATACTCATTATTAATAAGTCATACTCATAAATTTAATTTTTTATTTTTTAAATAAAAACTTCTTAACATTTTTACTTCTTTACACTACATTGTAGTGTAGTGACTACAAAAAATCATCTAATAATAAATTTACTTTTGATAGTTATTTAAAGTTTCTTCACATATTTTCAAAATAAATCTAATGTTTTAAAAAACACATTAAACATAAAAATATAGTTTTCACTTCGAGTTCAAAATGTTTTTGACGTAAACATTTAAAAAAAGCAAAAGTTCGGTATTCGGTTCGGTATTCAGCCGAACTTTCATGGCCGAACGTTCGGATTCGGTGTTCGGCCAAAAACCGGGTTTGGTGCATCCCTAGTATCTATGTAATTTGTTATAGTGATGAATGCTGTATTTAAGTAATTTTTTATAGTAATGAATGTTGTATTTAAATAATTTTTTATAGCAATCAATGAATGTATTTATGGTAAAGTTCTCTTAACTAATTGTAAAAACAACTTTTTTTTGCTATTGCTTCTGTAGCATGTTTAAACTATTCAAACTTTATATCCTAACAAATAAAATACATTTATATTCAATTTACAAATAAAAATATTTTATTTAAATAAATAAATATGAATACTATTTGCTTTTTCTTTTTTTCATTCACTAACTTACCTTTCCAGGTGCAGACCTAAGTATGTACTCAACATAATATCGACAAACTTTGTCTTCGCTTAAAAAACAAAAACCATTCTTTATTTCAGATCCATATACCTTGAAACAATGAAGGAGAACAAAACTAAAACAAATGACAAAAACATGTGAAACTCAATAAAAAAAATAATAAAGAAGTACTTTGTACTTTTATTGTAAACAACTTTGTCATCAAACAGTAAATCAAAATGAGACTACTACACACTGACTTTGGATAAAGGTCATCAAGTATTTTAAATGTTTTAACGCACTTACTTTAGATAAAACTTATTAAATATTTTAAATGTTTCTTCAATATACAATGATTAACAAGCACTAACCTTCACTGATATACAAGAACTAACCTTGGATAGAGCTCCTTAAGTATTTCACATGTTTCTTCAGTAGGTATTTCTTTCCAGCTCCATCCTTTTTCTTCAACAAGAGCAAGGATTTGAGAAAAAGCCTTCTCTTGATAATTTATTTCTAACGTTCTCCAGTAACCATCGACTTGTAAAGCTTGACAGGCTATTAAACCTTGAGTAAGCTCAGCTTCACTGCATTGGATTGTATCAAGCAAATCATCTGTTGTAAACTAATAGAAAATGGTTTTAAACTATTATTGATTAATTATTGTTATGTTTAATAAATTTAACAAACCTATTTATATTTTAGTGAACAAAAGTTACTAAAATATTTATAAAACTATTTATTTTCAATATTTATATTATTCAGGGTGTTAACCAACACTTTAAGGTGGATTTTCCCTGATTTTTCCCTGATATTTCCTTGATCCACTACCTGTCTTCCCTGATTTAATTTAAAGATACCCAAACTGAACTTCAGAAAAACTAGACTTATATTCTTTTGGAAAAATACTCTTTAACTGCAAAAATGTAAACGTAAATGAAAACATTAATACAACCTACATTTAAAATACTAAGAGAAGTTCAGAAAACTATCTGCCAAATAAAATTTCATATTACGTGTATTATCTGCCAAATAAAATTTTATATTACGTGTACAAAATAAAACTTAAGATAAATAAGTTTGATGGAGAGTCATTTTCCATGATTTTTTCTTTTTTTTCAATTCACAAAATTCTTTTAAAGAAAATGCTTATGAATATTTCAGACAGTTTGTTCCAAAATTTTGCTGATATTTTGAGTTTTGCATGTACAGTCAGTTTGGAAATAACTGATGCCAGATTTTAAACCTAATTAAAAAGATTTTGATAAACTTAAAAAGATAAATAAAATTGACAAGTTAAAATCAATGAATAGTTTTATTGATTTGAATTAATTAATAATTAATTAATTTTAAATTTCAATTCATCATTTTTAATGGTTTTATATCAGTCATTATACATTAATTTTTAATTTTAAAAAGGTTTAACTAAAAATGTCATACTTTTTCTTTTTCATCGTCGTCTCTGTAACCAGAATAAGCATTTACTGTAAGGTATTTGCGCAATCGCTGCATTTTAGGTCTTGTGGGACGAACTTCATAGTAACTGTTGAAACAACTCAATACCTAAAAAACAAATACCAACCATCATTATCAACCACAACCAGGATATTAACATTTAAAAAACAAAAACATCAACCAGGATATTAATTTAAAAAAAAAAAAAAAACATTAACCACAATATTGACATTTAAAAGTAGCTTATATTGTTTTTCTATTTGAAATGAAAACTAAACTACTCACAGGTGTTTCAACCAGGGGTAATTCTTTTGAAAAATCTATAATTAAAAAGTAAGATTAAATATATAATATTAAATGAAATGAAACCGAATTTTTTAAGAATGTTAAAAAAAAAGGAATGGAATGAATTTTAAAAAAAGATAGCTATAAAGAAAACAAACCTTTAGACTTTGGTGTACTTAATCTAGGCAAAACAAGTAATGAGTTTGTTGTTTCTGCTGCTCTAAGTTCAAAAGTTTGAGTTCTAGTGCAGATCACACATTCATCTTCAACATCACCTCGTATAACTAAACTAAAGTGAATTATGTAGAAAAAAAATATATTAAAACCCACTGTAATATTTTTTTGGATTCAATTCAGGCACAATTAGTACAATTAATAAACTGTAAAATTAATGTAATTATGCAAAAGTTTCAAATAAATATAAAAAATGTTGACTAGCCTTCTCGATTGTAGTCCTCCCTGAGAATAAATTTGTTAAAAAATTAAAGAAAAAATTGATTTTCGTTTAGTTTCCTTTTTTTTTTTTTTTTAACATTTTCGCTTCCAACAAGGCTGCAAGCAACCACTAATTAGTGTTGGACGTTATTGGAAGAGAAAAGATAAAGATTCCATAGCAAAATAATGATTGACAGACGACTTAAAAGATTGCAAATTATATGAATCAGGAAAGCAAGATGAAGAAAGCCAATTCCAAAGAGCTGATGTTCGAGGAAAAAAACTAGACGAATAAGAGTTTTTGGAGCACTTAGGAACAGTAACAGAAAAAGGATGGGACTTAATTGAATGACAAGTAACACGAGAATGAATTTTAGTAGATGGCACAAGAGCTCTAGCTCTTTAGAGCAGTGCCCATTATCGTATTTATAGAAAAGAGAAAGAGAAGCAACATTACGACGATGTGCCAAAGGTTGAAGGTTGGCTGCAAGAGCAGGTCCAACTATGTTTACAATGCGTTTTTGCACCTTGTCTAAAAGAGAAAGGGCATCATTAGAAGATTCACCCCAGATATGGCAACAGTATTCCATACAAGGCCGGATTTGAGGTTTATAGAAATAGAGAATAGAATCCAGAGTAAGAAAGTGACGAGCTCAATAAAGAAAAGCGACTTTAGCAGATGCTAATTTTGCAACGGATTTGATATAAGGTTTCCAAGAAAGATCAGAAGTAAGAATTAATCCTAGAAGATGAAGGGTAGGAGACTTATCAAGTACATTACCATTCATAAATATAGGAAGGTCTAAATTATTGCAATAACGATTGGCTGAAAAAAATTGAGTTTTATCTGAATTAAAGTTCACCAGCCACTGTGAGCCCCATGCTGTAGCAGAAGTGAGATCCTTTTCAAGCTCAGATTCCCCCTATAAGCAATCAGAGGGAGTTGGCTTCTTATCATAACAAGAATAAATGGTAGTATCATCAGCGAACAATGCCACCTTAGATGTGAGAAAATCTGGAAGATTGTTAATGTAAATTAAAAAGAGTATAGGGCCAAGGATTGAACCTTGAGGAGCCCCTGAGGTTAGAGAATAAGAAAAAGAGTGCTGTCCATCCAGGACAACTTTTATACTACGATTGGAAAGAGAGGATTCAATAATCTTAAAGAGGTTTCCAGATACACCGTAAGAAGAAAGCTTATGGAGAAGACCAGCATGCCAAACTTTATCAAACGCTCTAGAAATGTCATGAGCAATGGCCTTAACCTCTCCACCTTTATCTAATGCAAGATAAAACCTATCGGTTATTACTGATAGCAAATCAGCCGTAGAACGATAAGATCGAAATCCATATTGATGATTAGAAAGTAGGTTATGAGATTCGAGATGAGAGATTAAGTGTTTGTTAATTAAAGATTCAAAAACCTTGCTTATGATAGGAAGAAGACTAATGGGACGGTAGTTAGATGAATCAGATCGCTCTCCAGAATTTTTAAAAAATAGGGATAATAGATGCTGCTTTCCAGCAGGCTGGAAAACAAGACTCTGATAAGCACTTGTTAAATAGTTTTGAAAGGATAGACGACAGCTCCGGAGAACACTTCTGCAAGACTATAACAGGTATGTTGTTCGGGCCGCAGCTGTAGAAGAGTCTAAGCAGGAAATCACTTTAGATACAGAAGCTGGAGTGATACGGATGTCGAGCAGTGGATCAACCTTTTTGACGGCTATATCAATTAGAACGCAACTAGTGGAATCAAGAGATGATATTGATGAAAAGTTCTTGGCAAACAATTCAGCTTTGTCTTTAGGTGAGGTGACAAAGTCTGAACTGTACAAAAGAGGTGGAATTACAAACTTGCCCTTATTATTGATACTATTAAAGATTCTCCAGAAGTCACGAGAGCCTAATTTTTGTGATAAAAAGGAGATTTCATGATCTGAGAATAGTGGGCTTTAGCATTAGACAAACCTTTTTACAATGGTTCCTAGCAGTAATAAACAGAGGTCTGTTTTCTGTAGAATTGTTTTGCTGATAGATAAGGAAGTAATGGTTTCGATTAGCAAATGCAGCAGCACAATGTGAGGAAAACCATGAAGAAGAGTGAGGCTTGACCTGGAATCGTCGAGAGGGAATAAAGGATTCCATGCCAGCCTGAATCCACAAAGTTATGTAAGAAGCACATTTGTCAACAGGAAGACGAAAGATTTCTACCCAGGGGCCATCACGAAGAAAATCACGGAAAGAGTCCCAGTCAACTTTAAGGTAGTTGTAATATGTACAATGATAGGGGGATTCTGATGGTAAAGAAGAATGAGATAATAGTTTTAGAGAGACCAAACCATGATAAGAAGCACCTAAGGGTGAGTGTGGTGAAACTGAGCACTGACTAGGATTAGAAACAAGACATAAGTCAAGTAGAGAAGGTAAATGATTCGGGTTGTCTGGAAAGCGAGTTGGAAAGTTGACTATTTGAGTTAGGGATTGAGAAAGGCAAAAGTTGTGGGCCTTAATGCCTGCAAAGTCACTGACACTAGAGCCAAGCAATTCAGTGTGATGGACATTAAAGTCACCGTAAACAACAATATTGGCTAATGGATAAAGAATGAGGGCTTGGTCAATATCATCAGAAATAACATCAAGAAGAGTGCAGTCTTAAGATGAAGGAGAGCGATATAGAGCAAAAAGAAAGGTGATAGAGTGAAGTGGTGCTAAACGAAAGCACATGAAAGAGTAGTCTGTGGATTCAAACCTAGTTTCCCGACAAATGGGTGAATTCTTACGAATGTAAATGCCTAGGCCAAGCATGAGACTATTGGAGTCTTTACGAATTAAAGGAAGATAACCATTAACACTAAGATTACAAGATGAGACAACTGAAATCAAATTAGTCTCACAAAGAGCAAGTAGGTCTGGTGACCTTTGCAAGAGATAAAACTCAACAGAAGAAAAGTTACTTCGAAGACCACGAATATTGGTGAATGATAGGTTTAGCTAAATTGGTGATGACTGTGGTTTTTTGTGTTTTATAGTTTTTGTTACTTTATTCATTTTTAAATTTGTTAAAGAACTTGACTCGAAACATAGATAATACTCAGTACACTGTTTTATAGCCCAAGCAATTGCCTCATTTCCACTAATAAACCCTAAACCGTAACAAAGGGCTCCAATTCGGCCTTGGCAATGCACACCAAAGTACAAACAGGGACACCATCCATGCGCAACATGGCACTGTTAGTACTCTGATATTTTTCAGCTGTTGATAGAATCAGCCTCTCTGAGAGCTACCACAGAGTTCGGGAAACCTGACTACCAGCCGGCCTCAGAACCATAAAACTGAGTTTTAGAGCTGTACCCTCATATGGAGATAATAGAATGAGTTGCCTAGTCATAAAAACAGAGACACAAGCAAAACCCATGCATCGAGTCAAGAAGATCCAGCGTTCAGCAACCTAAACTGGAAACAATGTATTAAAAATACATCTGCGCCAGCCTAATAAATGGAGAAGGGGCGCGAGGCTGGTCAACAGATAGAATTTGTTTACCCCTTAAGTCTTTGCCTAGGAGGCCTTCTGCAAGACAACAGCCAGATGCATTTAACATCTGCCCAAGATGAGTATTTTTATCGAGACACCATCTCTAGCCTTTACTCAACCAAGAGCCCCAAGGCAGGGGGTGTTTTATGTCAGAATTTGGATCTCCTAGCCTTTGCCTAAAAAGGCATATCCTACAAGGCAGCAGGACATGAAGCAGATTGTACTGGGTTACATGTTACCAGTAGCAGGATAAACCTGACCTGACATTAACAAATTTAATCAGAGGGAAAAATAATTAATAATGTTGAATGACTAATATTGAATTTGTTTTAATGTTAATCACTCTAGGTCAGCAATATAATGCTGACCTCAACTGTTGTCAGTATTAGGTTGGCAAAAAAAGAGGTCGGTATTAGGTTGGTAAAAAAAATTTGACACAAAGGGGTTACCATAAAACATAGAGAAGAGGTCGACAATTTATATATATATATATATATATATATATATATATATATATATATATATATATATATATATTTATATATATACATATATATATTTATATATATATATATATATATATATTTATATATATACATATATATATATATATATATATATATATATGTATATATATATATATATATATATATATATTTACATATATATATGTATGTGTATATATATATATATATATATATATATTTATATGTATATATATATATATATATATATATATATATATATATATATATATACATATATACATTTTTACCTCTAAAAAAATAGATACTATAATCCCCCAATAAGTAATAAACCAATCAATTTGCTTGAAAATTAAAATAAAAACAATCAAATACTTCAATCAACATGAAATTATTCTTTGAACCAGGGTATATTTAAAATGGATATGTTCAATAGGCATTAAAAACTCGTCAGACTTATCTAGGGTACAAGATAACAAAATTCAAAAAAATGTAATAAATGTTATAAATTTCTAATTGAATGTTTTACATACATCGTTTAATATTTTTAGCTTTTCTTCAAGTCCCAATATTTGCTAAAAAAATCTAAAAGCAATATCACACTATTTTCTTTCGCTTGGAGTTTCCTATTTTCCTCCAAATAGTTTTTATATTGTAATGAGGCACTACAAACAGCATTTATCATTTCATTGTTTATTTCTATTTTGTGAGCCTTCAATTTGTTTGACACCATAAAATCCTTGATAGTGCAACGAGATATAAGTGACATTCCTTTCATTTTTTTATTGAGCATATTACTGGTAATACTGAAACCTCTCTCAATTGATGCTTGCCCATGACATAATGTAAAAATAAATATCAAAACTTTTGACAAAACTTTATAATCTACACCAAGCTTAATGGTTTCAAAATAAAACTTGTTTAAACAATTTCCAGTGTGAAAATATTTGAATGCAAGTAAAAGAGTGAATGAACTTTCCTCTAACAACTTTAAAAATTGTATGAAAGCTTAATCACATTCATTTGACACTGGACTGATGCAAGCAGTTGCTTCTAGAAAAGAAAATCAATTCAAACTTCTTTCTAATATTTTTTTCAAAATTTTAATGATAATGAGACGGCAATCTTTTTTGAATATGTTGATAACATCCTGAGATAATGCATCCTTTTTACTCAATTCGATAATGCCATGTTCTGCAGCAAATCTAATTGTCATTAAAATTTTCCTTTTTTGTAATTAACCTAATCTTAGTCTATTTTTACAAAATGTGGTTATATTATCATACCACTTTCTACTTACAGTTGTGTTAATAATTGGCCTTAACGCATGGCAAAAGTTGAAGTCTTTGGTCTTGAAAATGTTTGCATAGGCGTTGGCCTTGAAAATCTTAATCTTGTCCTTGATATTAAACTCTTGGCCTTGGCCTTGTAACTTTTGGCCTTGATCTTGGCCTTGTGACTTTTGGCCTTGATCTTGGCCTTGTAACTTTTGGCCTTGATCTTGGCCTTGGACTTCTAATGCATGGCCTTGGCTTTGGTCTTGATACTTTTAGCCTTGTTAACAACTCTGCCCCGAACACTTGTCATAGCTCTTTCATTTTGGTTGCTTACTTTTAGAAAGAGTCTCCAAATACTTGGTTATTTTTTTTAACATTCTCCAACGTTTATCTGCAACTTTTTGGTCTACAACCCAGCATTTTGAGCAAAATGCTCAAAGAAAACTCTCACATTTAGTAACAATTACATAATCAGCTCTTCTAGCCGAAGAATCATAAAAAAGGTTGTATGATGCTGTCATCAACTTCTTTATATTCCATTCAGCAGATTGAAAACCTGATTTGAAACCATGTATTAGATAAAGGTTACAGATCCCAATGTTTAGGTAAGAAGTTTAGGTAGCTTTTATTGATCATGCTGCATTTCAACAAGATTAAGAAGGGACCAGTTCACATTTGTACATTCCATACCTAGTTGAATCATACTTTCAAGTAAATTCTTTGCTGTGGGGTGACCTAAAAATTTAGAGTCAAAGTATCTGGATTCAACGTAATTTAGATTGCTGCTCCAAAACTGAATATTTAGATCCAATTGGACATTTTTAAAAGAATCGTTCAGGCTTTCATCAAATGAAAGAGTATAATAGAGGAGATTTTTTTATATTTTTAGTTAAAAGTCTGTAAAAATAAAACCCATTACCAAAATTAATTATATAACCAAGTTTTGTTACTCATTTCATAAGATTTAGCAATATTTCTATCAGGGATCATTTTCTGATAAAGTAGGCATTTTCATTACATAAGTTCAATAAGAAATTATTCTGTATTGCATTTTTTTTTTTTTCTTTTTTTTAATTACTCACCTCCCCAAGGCCCGAGGGGGCCACTACAGTCGAGGAGGCTACTCATTTTTTTTTTTTAATTTGTTGTAAATCGTGGTACAACCCTCTCTCAATTCTTTAACTCCGAAACACAAACCTTGAAAAGCAAGGCCGCTGCGCGGAGAAATTAAGTTGAGCGCGGTACTTCCAGGGACATGGTGGGAGTCGAACTCCCACCATGCCCGCACTCCCACCATTTAAAACAGAGTAGATTTCTGTACAACAATCTACTGTTTGAAATGCTTGCTTTTTAAATGTAGACTGTGCATGAAGAAGCAAGATAATGGCATTGACTTTTGCGCATGTTTTTCGCCATCCATGTGACTTATCACAGCACTTCTGCAAATTTGACAAATTAAATTCAACTTGGCATATTTTGCACTTGGCTGAATTTTTTACACTGCCTATTACCAGCCATTTTTTAAACAAAGGATCACTTAACCATTATTCTTTGAATCACGTTGCAAACATTGAATTAATGTAAACACAATATGATTAAAATTTTTTAATTTAAAAATGTTAAACATTAACCCTGGTATGGAAAGAGAACATTTTTATTGGAAAAAATTTCAAAACATTAAAGAAAAATTAAAAAGTTCCCTGATTTTCCCTGATTTTTTCTTAAATCAATCATTTCCCCATAATTTTCCCTGATTGTATCTAAATTTCCCAGATTTTCCTTGAATTCCCTGATTTGGTGGTAACTCTGTATATATAACATAAAAATATTTTTACTTTATATTAAGACTTTCTATTAGAATATTTCCATTTTTGTGTGACATTTTTTTTTTTTTTTTTTTTTGCATATTAATATCGCTACAGTTTGAAAATAAACAACAATTTTCAAAATGCTATATTTTAGCTAGAAATAATTGATGACTGCCATTTCTCATCAAAAATATATTAAATATAAGTGGCAGAAGTATTATAATTCATTTAAAATACTCACAAACAATATATTTTCTTAAAAATATCTACATGAAATTAACAAATTTGCATCTTCCATGCATGACTTCCTACCGTGATCATTAATGAACTGCATTTAAACGAGTGCTGTGACTATGATACATAGTGCAATTGAGTAACTTTCTGGAAATCTTTACTAATGTTTAAATATTATTTTTAAAATCTTTACTAATGTTCAAATATTATTAAGTATACTGCTGAAACTTATATTTTCTGATTTTTTAAAGTTTATTTCTTTAGTAACTAAAATTTGAGTCTTTCTGTTTTGTGCATAATTCCGCTTCAAACTTAATTTATTCTTTGTTGACATTACTAATGTATACTATTTTTTGTTTACATGATATTTATATAGGTTAGAATTAAATGAGAGCAAATTGGAGATTGCCAGTTTTATTATTATGAAAATAATAGACAAAACATATACAAGTTTCCGTGCATGATTTTTTCAAAATGCCCATTCGTTATTAATAAAAAACTCACTTGTCGCCTTCCTTTAACTCTTTAATTAACTCATTTGATAACTCTATAAGTTTATAATCTTCTTTCATCCATGTAGTTGAGTAATATAGACTTTGAATTGATCCTTTTCTTTGAGTCACACCAGCAATTTCTGCAAGTTCATTTACTTCAGTCAAAGACCTATATAAAAACATAAACATTTAACAAACTTCAAATTACATATATATACACACACACACACACACACACACACACACACACACACACACACACACACACATATATATATCAGTAAAAAAACAGATTTTGACAGATTTTAGTTGGAAAAAAAACTTGACATATAAAAATATTTTAGAGCATACAGAAACAGATACAGTAAAAGAATGAAAAACTTTTCCAGATATGTCATATGGAGCAAGCTTATGGAGAAAATTAGCATACCAAACTTTATTGAAAGTTTTAGATATGTCAAGAGCAACAGCCTTTCTCTTGCAACCTTCATCTAACACATGATAAAATCATTTAGTCACAACAATTACCCAGAGATGTAGTTAAGACAGTAAAGATCAAGACCAAGACTAAGACCAAGACATTTGGGTTTAAGACCAAGACTAAATGCTTCAAGACCAAGACATTCAAACAACAAATTAAAAAGACAAATAGAAAGAAAAAAAAGAAGAATTAAAAGAAAAAAAGAAAAAGTTCTTAAGAGAGTTGTTTTTTGAGATAGCAGCTGCAAAAGAAGGTGAAAACCATGGAGTAGAATGAGGTTTGACTTGAAACCCATGAGTAGAAAAAAAAGCTTTTATACCTGACTGGATCTAGGAGGTTACGTAGGTGCATTTATCAGCATAGAAAAAAAAGATATCAACCCAAAAGCTGTCACAAAGAAAATCAGGGAAACAATCGCAATCAACTTTAAGGTAGTAATAAGTAGTATGATGATAGGGAGAATATGGAGAAGTGCGTGATGAAAAATTTAAATAGATATATTGCATGGTCAGAACCACCTAAAGACAAACAAGGAGAAACTTAACACAAGCTAAGGTTAGAGACAAGACACAAATTAAGGAATGAAGTTAAATGATTAGGGTTGTCTTGAAAACAAGTCACAAAGTTATGTAAACAAAATTATCTGAGTAAGAGATTGAGAAATACAGAAGTTATGGACTTTAATGCTAGTAGGTGTTAAAGCCAAGCTATTCAATGTGATAAGCATTAAAGTTACTAATAGCAATAGTATTGGCAGAGGAGTAAAAAGAAAATGCATTTTTGAAAAAGTGTAGCATTGAGAAAAAAGAGAACAATATAAAGAGAAAAGTGATAGAGTGAAGAGGTGCTAAATGGAAGGACATAAAAGAATGGTCAGAGGATTCAAACCTGATTTCTAGACAAAAGGGAACTGATGCATAAGTATACACCCAACGCTAAGCATGAGACCACTGGAGTTTTTGAGAATCAAAGGATAGTACCCAACAAAATTGAAATGTGAAGAAGCAACATCTTAAAAAGAGCAAGCAAGTTTAGTCAATATTGGAAGAGGTAAGATTCAACTGATGGAAAGCTACTTACAAGACCACAATTATTTGTGAAAGATATATTGAAACAGTTATGTGGTGGTTATGGTTGATGGTAAAATACACTAACATATTTGACATAGATAAAAAATTTAGTTAAAAAGATAATTGATTTAAATTTGCGAGAACTATATAATATTTATCATAAAATAATGATTAGCCTATAATAAAATGGTAAAACTTTATAGTGGGTTAACTATTTCAGAAGTTTCAATAAAAGCTATTAATAATAGAATAAGAAACACTGTATGCAGTAGCATGTTGTTAAGAATCAGGTTATAAAGAGAAATAATTTTTATTTGGTTGATTCAGCAGACTGAAACAATGAAGGTAAAATATATGTATAATATTATTTAATACTTGAGGTTAAGAGAATCGAGTTTTATTTACTTATTTACTTATGTTTAAAGCAATATAGAAGCCTTTTTAAAAAGATATTGGCAGTTAAATCAAATATCTGGTTGCATTTCACATATTAATTAGATTCTATTAATTTTTCTAATTAGGTTTCAGAATATATTTATGTACAGAACACAATACCCTTAAATTCTTTTTAATACCTTCAATATGTAAAGTTTTCTATTTATTTACTACAAACAATAAAAGTTTTTATTTAGTAAAATATTTTTGTTTTTTAAAATTATGTTATTTTATTTTAAATTTTTCAGGCAGCTGAACAATGACTATATATAAAAAAATTTTTTTATTAAAAACAATTTTTTTATATAGTCGACGTTTAATTTTTTATGTTTTATAAAAAATAAATAATCCTTGTGATTAAAGCTCTTAATAGCTTTAACTATTGTTGTAAATGTTGTTTTCTTTTTTTTTTGTAAACAAGTTATTATTATTTATCTACTACTAATTTATAAAAATGATTAAATGTTAAAATTAAAAGTATAAGAAATTAAAAATTAAAAATTATTCAACTCATTTCATTAAGAATAAATTTTCAGTAAAAGAATTTTTAAAGTTGAATAAAAATTTTCACTAGTAAAAAGTTACGAGAAAAAATTAAAATGTATTTTTCGTTAATAAACAAATAATAAAATTTTACAAATCTTAAGGCTTTAAAATTTCAGATTATGCATCTCATTTATGATAAAACTATTGTTGATAGTATTTAATAAAAATCATAACCTTTTCATTCCCGCCAATTTTTTAATATGCTACATTAACGGTCAACGAAAATTTTAGCATTTATACATCTAATTATAAATTTAATATTGTCAACTCAAATTAATCAGAGAAAGTAAAAATTATTTACAGTACGTTATTACTATTTATTAGTACGTTAATACACCGGATTTTGGAGGTGCAAGAATGAACGGCAAGTTAATTAGGGAGGAAAATTTTGCTATATCACATGCTGTATTTTTGTAATTATAAATAAGAAAAAAAAGTAAACAAAACATTCTTTTTTTATGTTTTATACGAACTAAACTTTTTATTAAAATCTTTTATTATGTCTATTTTATTACACTCATTACTAGCGAAGTATTAATAAAAAAATTTATTGAAAAACATGTTAGAGAAACAAAAATATATTTTAAAAGCAATTGAAAAGCTTCAAAAGAAAACATGAAAATAGCTTTGCAATAACTACACGTCCTAATATGAAAATAATCACAAACTCAAAAAAATTGAAAGTGACTTAATTAACAACAAATTAAAAACAAAGAATATGCAAAAAACTATTGAAGACAAGTATTAAAATTTCCGAAAGCATGTTGTGATAAAAACATATCCAAAACTAACAAACGTGGTGGACGTAAATAAAAGTTCTCCTTTCAGGTGACCTTCCTCCTCAGATAAACTGGAAAAACTTTAAAAAAAAATTGCTATAAATATATACACTGAAAAACTCCAAGTTCTTATTATTAAAAAGGATACACAGACCAGGTTCAATAAAAACAGGAAAAAGCAAACAGTTGTTTAAAAGCTATTAAATTAAATAACAAAAATATCTCAATCAGTCTCTCTAATAGCCATAGCACTGGTAGTGCTATTTATTACTAACTTACAATTTTTTTATCGCCAAAACTTTATAAAATCTTTATTTTATTTGCAATTCTAGTTATAGTCAAGGCACTAGAAATACTATTTATTACAAACTTACTAATTTTTACCTAAATTTTATCTTTATTCAGATTTTTGTTCTGGCCGGATTTTTAATATTTGTTTCCATTGTATCGATATGTACAGCTAAATCTCTAAGGGACTCATATGTGAGAACCCCAAAGCTTAAAGTAAAAAAATACTATAAATCTTCTATGTTTAGTTTTTTCGCACCATAGAAATCTTATAACTAAATATTTTATTAATTAGTAATTGGACTTATGTCCATTATGAAATGACAGATTCGACTATGTTAATGGTTACTTAAAGTTGATCTAACTATACATAACGGGCATTTATTTATAAAGTTACGTTCTGAACGTCTTTTTTCAACGGTTTTCTAAACGTTCTTAATTTTAGAAAACGTTTAAAAGACTTTGTTTTTTAAAATATTATAAAAAACAAATGCCCGTTGGGTAGGATTACATCAAGGGTGTATAATAGCTTAGCTACGCTATTATAACTCCTTGACTAAATTAAATAAAATAATTTTATTAAAATGTTAAACTATATTGATTTTTTAAACTATATTGATCTGTAACCACTGCGCCAAGGCCGCACAGCGTGCCATGGCGCAGTGGTTACAGCGCTTTATAAGCAGTAGAGCCAGCCATATTTTTGTGTCGCCGTTAGGGAGGAGGCGTGAACTTCCTGGTTAAATTCATTTCCCTGGTGCTCTATGACAAGACCTTTAGGTCTTTTTAGGGTACCAATATAACAACAAAAAAATATTTTACTAAAACAGGGCTGCATAGTGCATCACTCTTAGGTTTGAAATGATTAACTCTTTTGATTATATTTTTATTTACAATTATTTCTCTAAATAGATCACTAACCAATTTGGAATCGCACTTTTAATGTTTTTTAGTATTAATCTCCTTTTTCCTTTGTGACATTTCAAAGACAATAACATTACTTTCGCACTTTGCAATATCTTTATTTAAGGTAACAATTGCCCTTATGGCTTGAAACTCTGATTTAAACTAATCGTCTCTTTACAATTGAGGCCCAATTTTTCAATTACTTTTAGTTTTATTTTTTTTCTTTACATTTTTTTTATGTGTATGTACATATATATGTATATATATATATATATATATATATATATATATATATATATATATATATATATATATATATATATATATATATATATATATATATATATATATGTACATACACACACATATATATATATATATATATATATATATATATATATATATATATATATATATATATATATATATACACAAATATATATATATATATATATATATATATATATATATATATATATATATATGTATATATATATATATATATATATATATATATATATATATATATATATATATATATATATATATATATATATATATACATACATAGTGAGGCGGGGTGTTATCCCGTCACTTTTTTTATAAAGTATAAACCATCCCGCAAACTATATTTTGTTTCAAATATTTTCCAATCTTAATTTTTTAATTAAGTTTAAGAAGAAGGTAAAAATTAAAGAAAAATCAAACTTTGTATGAGAAAAAATATCAGAAAATATAACTTTTCTTTTTCTTTTTCTTTTTGTGTGTGCATTTAATGCATTTGTTACTTTTATTAACCTTATTTTTATGTATAATAAATGTTTTTATGTTTATATTTTCTTTATTTATTTATTAAACTTACAATATATTTTTGTTATTATATTATAAAAACTAAAATTTCATATTTATTAAGTTTTTGTAGTCTTTTATCGATAATCGTTTTTATGTCATCGTTATTTGTTACGTTTTGTCAATTTACTACTGTTTGTAACTGTAAATATGTATATAAAATTGGTTGTTGTATGGAAGATTGTATTGGTTTATTCTAATTCTTTTAGTCATGATTTTTATAATTTTTGGTGACGTAATTAATGGACAGCCTTCTATTAAATATTCATTTAATAATTCCGTTATATATGTATTGTTATATATTTATTATTATCATGTTTTTATTGTAACCATTATTATTGGGTGTTAATTATACTTACTGGTAATATTATTATTGTTATTCTTATTATTATACAACTATTTATCTTTATTATTCTTGTTATTGTTAATTTATTACTATTTTTAATATTTTTATAACTATATGTGTCTATAATAGGTTTTAAATCATCAAAGAGGTTTTTACTTTATATTAGTTTTTATAACTATTTGTAAACGGCCGTGGAAATTAGATCTTTTTTCCAGAATAAATAATTGATGATTGATTTGACATAATAGGAGAGATAGCTGGCCCTAGCAAAGATTTTTTTTGCACCCCAAAATAAAAGAGTAAGATTATCATCATTCAATAAATTCTTTATAAAAGCTATAAAAGCTTTCCAAAACTCACACTCTATTGTTATCATTCATGACATTGAATGCAGCATCTATTGAGCAATTTTTTTAAATAAAAATTATAGTGGAAAAGGAATAAGATTTCTTTGCCACAAAAAGGCACAGTGATTTTATTAGAAAAGATATGATAGTTAAATAAGCTCATCTAATTGAAAATAGGGACGGTTTTTTTTATTTGTTTGTTAAGAAGATTAAGAATTTTTTAAAAGAGAATCAACCACTTCAATATTAGACTAAACCTTTCTAAATAACCCCGAAATGTCGGGGATATTTGGATGGCGACGAAAAATGACTTCACTCAATAGTTATAAATTTAATTCGTCAAATCTTAAACAAAAGTAAAGCTTGAACTTAGTTTTATCCAAAATAACTGATTTTAACGAGTGCAATTTAACATAAAACAAGTTGACTAATTTTTTTATTTTTTATCAAATAGCCCAATTTCGGTACCAACAAAAGATTTAAAAAAGTATTCAAACCCACAAGCAATCTAAACCAATTTTAAATAGATAATAAAAAGATTTATTAAAAAGAGATTCTTTTTAAAAACAAACCCGTAAGCAATTTAGTAGCTAATTTTTTTAAAAAAGATTAGTTTGTGATACAACCTGACTACCCTTGACTTCCGTTTTATAATTCCTTTATTCTTTCCAAAATCACTCCACTTTTGGGGTTATGATGCTCTTCAGGGAGCTGAACTCGCAGCCTCTGTATCGCAATTAGCCGGAGGAGGATAAACCACGACGCCAGTTCATGTCTAGTGAAAAAAATATTTGTAAAAAGAACAACTAACTAAAAACACTTTTTCAATTCGGATCGTATTTCTACCGGCATCCGAGATTGAAAAGGCGGCAAAATTGTTTTAATGTAAAATTTTCGTCTAGTTTTGATTATTTTATAAATTTTAAAACCTCAATATTATATAAACACATCAAGTTATAACACCTTTTAAAGCACTAAAATTAATTTTTAAGTAGTATTTAATGTAGTCAAGCCTTTTCAAAGTCAGTAAAATAGATTAATTAATAATTAAGAAATAACAAATTGGTAGCAATTGCATTAAATAAATTTTGTTTACAAAATTTTCAACCTAAGAAATAATTATGCTAAATTTTAATTCTATTTAATTTATTATATATTCAATAATGACAAAAATTTCTTACTTAAATAAAACAAATTAGTTTTGATAATTTCCAGACAGTACATCATGAATTATATGTAATATGTATTAATTTAGTTATTTTAGGGTTGTTTTAAATAAAATAGTTTACAATATATATATATATATATATATATATATATATATATATATATATATATATATATATATATATATATATATATATATATATATATATATATATATATATATATATTTTATTTTATTTGTATACATATGTTATTATATGTTATTATAATATAGTTTTGGCTTTTGCCTAAATTGCAATTGTGTTTGAAATACACAAAATATAAACCTAGATTAGCTTGTGATAATATAATAAAGCAGATTTATAATAAATATTTAAAAAATTGTTGAGTTTTTGAGATTTTTTGATATATAAAAATTTTTTATTAAAAAATTTAATTTTTTTTAGTTCTTAGCTAACTAGATTTAATAATTATAAATAGCATTATGGAAAAATAATTTGTGCTCAGGTGTTTTGTAGTTATTGATAATACAAGATTTACAATGTATTAAAGTAAGGTATCTATTTTTGTTACTTAGATATTAAAATGCAATTTGGATTTGTTATGTTTTAAAACTATAAAAAAAAAAATGACGATATCTGAATTCCTACCTGCACTTGCTGAAAACCCATATTTTTCAGCAGGGTTTGGGCTTGTAGGTGTTGGAACTGGTTTAGCAATAATGCGCAAAGGAATGCAATTTGGATTTGTTATGTTTCGTCGCCATTGCATGGTTACTTTAGAAGTTACAAGTAAAGATAAAAGTTATGAATGGTTACTACAATGGATGATTCAGAAACAAGCAAAACAAACACAGCATTTGAGTGTTTTTACAACATTCCAACAGCATGAAACTGGAAAAGTAAATGCCCAGTTTGATTTCACACCAAGCCCAGGCACACATTTTATAAAGTATAAAAAAAACTGGCTTCGTATTGAAAGACAAAGAGATCAAGGAATGAGAGATCTTGCCAGTGGCTTGCCTTGGGAAACAGTGACATTGACATCGCTTGGTAGAAATAAAGAAATCTTTTACTCAATGTTGCATGAGGCAAAAGCACTAGCTTTGTCTAAACAAGAGGGAAAAACTGTTATGTATATACCTATGGGGCCTGATTGGCGTCAGTTTGGTTTTCCTAGGCAGCATCGGCCAATTAGCTCAGTTATTCTAGATGATGGTGTATCTGAAAGAATCCTAAATGATGTTAGGGAGTTTATTTTAAATAAAAAATGGTATATAGATCGAGGTGATTTTTAAATATTTTTGCCCTAACTTTTTTTGTTATTTTTAATGTGTATTTATTAAAGATGTTATGAGTATTCATTGACAATTTGGTATTCTGACAATTCTGATATGATACTATTTGGTATTCGGCCTATTTAAATACTTTTTTATTTGCTATTCAACCAAATATTGCAAACTATTCTATATACACCAAATTTATACACCAAATACCAGATTGTAACAAAAAAAAATCCACATAAAAATGTTTTATATATAACTATTTTTTTAAATTTTCTATTTTATAAAATATTCAGCATATTTGATACCTTAAATGTAAGATAGTAGGTTATGATAAAAACACTATCGTCCTTCTATGATAGAAAATAATTGCGATTTCCTTATATATTATACGTACTTTCAAAAATTGCCATTTACTAAGTACACTGCCATTGGCAAATAATAAAAAAATTTGAGCATGTTCTGTTAAGAATAATCTTTTGTGCATGCTGACCACAACTTTTAAGGGTTTGTCCAATTTAAGCAAATATTTTCATGTAAAAACTAATTTCATTTGCATTCGAACTTTTCTTTTCCACAATCTCATATGTGTGCATATTTTTTGTAGAGATTAGTTTGATCATTTTCATTTACATTTTATTTTCTTACAAAGTGGAGATTAATCATTATAAGTGCTACTAGGCACCAGTGATGGTTCATCAGGCTTTGGCACAAATGGTGTGCTGACCACACTTATAATTTTTTTCTTTATAAATTTTTATTGTTATTTAAATCTTTTAAACAAATGTTTCATAAATTTTTTTTTTTTCCAATTTTCTGGAAAAAAATAAATCACAGTGGACCAAAGATACCACCAGGTTTTTTGTTGTGTCAATTAGACGAAACTTTTTTTTTTTAATAGTGTTTATTTTATAATAATAAAAAAAGTTGTTTTTAAAATGTAAACCAAGTGTTAAGGGTCCCAAATGGGGCAAAATAAGATGTTAGGATAGTTTTACACCCACCCATTTTTATCATTGATTATGATCAAAAATATTATACTGATTTGAAATCATATAAAAACATAGATCTGAAAGTTTCTGGCAAGTAGTCTGTTTTACATTTGAAATTAAAAATATATTTATTAAAATGTAAAAAACGAACATCTTTTTTAAAATTCCTTTTTGCGGCTTTAACAATTTAATGGAAAAAAAGTAACTGTTTATGGTGTTTAAAAGAACTGGTTTTTATTATCATCAATTTCTAATTGCTGAAAAAAATTATTATACAGAAGATATTTAGAAGCTGATATTCTTTAAATGATGGAAATAATAGTAAACATAAATTTTTGTTTATAAAGAAACCTTAACTAACAATAACATGTTAAGCAACATTTAAAATGTAATTCTTTTGCATAGCAAATAAAATCCAGGGTGCGCAATTATATAAAGAAGTTTAAATAGTTGCAAAAAAGATGGCATAATTATTGATTTATATGTGGATATTCTATAAAATTTTTCATATAATATATGACAAATATTATAAAAGCATTTATATATATAAATATATATATATATATATATATATATATATATATATATATATATATATACATATATATATATATATATATATATATATATATATATATATATATATACATATATATATATATATATATATATATATATATATATATATATATATATATATATATATATATATATATATATATATATGTATATATATATATATATATATATATATATATATATATATATATATATATATATATATATATATATATATATATATATATATATATATATATATATATATATATATGATATATATATATATATATATATATATATATATATATATATATATAATCTATTAGATCTAATAGTTTAATATCTTATATTGCAAATTATAAAAAATAGAGCATATTTAGTTTTTCTTGTTTAAATGGATAATATTGCTTTTCAACAAAATGCTGTGTGCTGCTGTTGCTGGAAAATGTTTGGAACCAGGTCTAAATCTTTAATTAGTGTAAATTCAAAGGTAGAAGAACTGATGAAGTTGTTTGTTTATCCAGGATATTCTCTAGATGTGTGCAGCTATCCTAATGTTATATGTTCTGGATGTCAGAGAAATCTCTACCTACTAAAGGCTGGAAAACCTCCTCATGGTTCATGGGGAGAAAAGATTGCCAAAGTATCTTAATATTGAAAAAAATACCAAGTCCCTTTAACTAATATATATATATATATATATATATATATATATATATATATATATATATATATATATATATATATATATATATATATATATATATGTATATATATATATATATGTATGTATGACATACATACATATATACATACATGCATACATACATACATACATACATACATACATACATACATATATACATATATACATAATGTATATATGTATGTATGTATGTATGTATGTATGTATGTATATACATACATATAAACATACATACATACATACATACATATATATATACATAATGTATATATGTATGTATGTATGTATGTATGTATGTATGTATACATACATACATACATACATACATACATACATATATACATAATGTATATATGTATGTATGTATGTATACATACATACATACATATATACATAATGTATATATGTATGTATGTATGTATGTATGTATGTATGTATGTATGTATGTATACATACATACATACATACATACATACATACATACATACATACATACATATATACATTATGTATATATGTATGTAAGTATGTATGTACGTATGTATGTATGTATGTATGTATGTATGTATGTATGTATGTCATACATACATACATACATACATACATACATACATACATACATACATACATACATACATACATACATACATACATACATACATACATACATACATACATATATACATACATACATATATACATACATACATATATACATTATGTATATATGTATGTATGTATGTACGTATGTATGTATGTATGTATGTATGTATGTATGTATGTATGTATGTATGTATGTATGTATGTATGTATGTACATACATACATACATACATACATACATATAGTATATTTAGTACCTCCCCCTGAATTACATATCCTGATAGGAATAGTAACAACACTGGGATGTTTATTATTGAATCTTTGGCCAGGTTTTGATATTTTTTTGAAAAATAGTGGTGTTTGACAAAGAGGATATCAACGTAGAGGTGGGGATGGTAATAATTTAAACCAGATACTAAAGTGTGTTGATGAGATGGAAAGAGTTGTTTTGTATGAATATCCTGATCTTCTGCCAATTATTTAATGTTTAAAAGTCTTTAAGATTGTAACAGATTCTTGCTTTGGTAGAACACTTGAGCTTGGGTATCAGCAAGCCATTCAAAAGTTTAAGAACTCCTTTTTATCTGCTCAAGAAATTGCAGATATTCTTGGAATAAAATTAGTTAAAATTGGTCTGTCTAAGTTTGCTGGACAGAGCGGAGAATCAGTTCACTCAAAATTCAAACCAACGTGAAACAGGTTCAAACGACAAGTTGCAAACAAAGAATATGGTGGAAGACTCCTCTCTTCTGAAAAAAAAAGATTGATAAATAAATAAAAAAATAAGAATTTTTTTATTAGATCCTGGCGGCACTGTACCTGAATAATGAAATATAATAAGTTTTATATAATTTTGCAAATCTAAACTTCTAAAATAAATTCAGAGAGAGAAAAAAATTTATAATAATAATAAATCTTAAATAGAGTTGGGACCCCTCAATTTTTCTTTTTGCCCCATTTGGGACCCTTAGCAACTCGGTTTAGATTTTAAAAACAACTTTTTCTATTCTAAAATAAATACTAATAAATAAAAAAAGTTTCGTTTAATTGACACGATATAAAACCTGGTGGTCTCTCTGGTTCACTGTAAAATGTTTGTACAATCTAAAATTTTTATATATAACACTTTTTAATAATTCAAATACAATTTTTCATTTATTAAACAATCATTAGAAGTAATTTGTTGCTTAATGTAAAAGCATTTTGCGTAACTTTCAATAAAATGTTTGCACATTGAAAAGGCTTTAAAATTATAATAAAAACAATAATAACAAGATTTTAATAAATTTTATTAAATTTTTATAAGTCTTTTGTTTTAGTTAAAACTTAGCAGAAATTTATAAAATATATTGAGTTATAGTATATATTTATTGAATTTTATTTTTTATAAATGTGAAAAAAAAACTATTTCTTATTTTACAACTCTACCAACAACTTTCTTATTATAAAAAAAATTAAAAGAAATTTATAAGTATGCATTGAAATTTCAAATTTTTTTGTAGTAAACAAACATTTTTTCAGGCTTTCTCAGGAGACACGTCACATTTAATGACCACGCACATATATTATTTTGTTGATAACTTGGCCACAATTTTTTTGCATATTTTAAAAATGACGCATTTTAAAAACGCGCTGAAAAAACCAAACTAATTAGTCATCTTATTGTTTTTTTTTTATTATTAATTATTTATCATTATAAAATATACAATATCAAATAAACAAGTTAATTTTCCTTAGCTGGTCAACTCTGATAGGTTTTTATAAAATTTTTAAATTAGTATAGAATTCTCAGCATTTTGTGAGAATTCTATACTAATTTAAAAATTTTATAAAAACCTATCAGAGTTGACCAGCTAAGGAAAATTAATTTGTTTATTTGATATTGTATATTTTACTTAAGTTACATCACTTTCATTATCAAGCGGTTATTGTGAACTTTTTAAATCTATTATTAAGAGTTATATAACAAAATAAATGCTTAAGTATTGAACTCAATCATTAAAAATAATTAACAACAAAATTTTTTAAAAATACAATACAAACTGCTTTACTGGTTTGCAGAAATCAGTGTAAGTGTAACATAAGTTTGTGGCATTTTAAGTAATAAGTTCGCTCTCTTTTGGCCCAACTCAAAACTTTTTAG